CAAACTTCGCGCATATACGTCAAATATTCAAATTTTTATAACCCTCGCCAAAGTTTTGGTATTTCCTGATTATTCCGCCTATATTTTTCCAAGTTCCATTCTAGCAGACCTAAATCTGTTTTCCTTATTTGTACTAACTATACCATTCATTTAATAGAACTCAAAGATTTTATCTATATTGTTGTTATTTGTCTTTAGGGAAGCAGTTATGTTATTCCCATTTATTCTTATAGGAATATTGTCTTGTTTGCATTTATTTGAATACAAATTCCTGCCAACCTTTTTTTTCCAAGCTCTTTATTTTTTCTTGCATATCATTATGTGTGTATTCAAAAAAGGCATCGAACGTATTCAACAACTCATTTTTATTAGTCTAATAGTATATTTTTTCTTTAATACTTCTTTAGGTTATTCTTCATAACCTAAAGAAGTACCAAATTGAAAGAAACTGAATAGCCTATTTTAACTTCTTTTTGCAGCTCCACTGCTATAACTGCGTTGCTATAACTGATAACAAAAACTTTTTTAAATTTCAATTCCAGGGAATTAGAACCATATATTTTCCAAATGAAGAAAAATCTGGTTAAACTAATACATAATACGTAGAGCAATTCTTATTTAGTTCATGAAAGGGAAAAATTTTATAGAAAAAACAAATGCAATTTTTAATTCATTAAAAACATTTTAGCATTACAAAATAATCCTTTTATCCTCAATTAAGGTAGAAAGGAATAATTTGCAAAAATAAAATGTACTTGAGTACAATGTCTGTGAATCAAAAGAAACTTTTATACATATAGATATTTTAAGATTAAGAAGTGAAATTTTAATTAAAAACAAAAGGTTGAAACCTTGTAATTTTCATATTTGCAATGAACGTTTTATAATTTAATAAGTCAATATATTTTTATCGAATGTATTTCGCACAAGTCGACCGCTATAGGTCAACAAATAATGCACACACTTACGTTTGTTAAAACCAGCCCGTTGTCAATTCTCAACAATTACATAGTTGTGAATTATAAAGTTATTGTCATCACAATTGATGCTCTGTTATTCTGCTTCATGAAAGATTTTATAAAAGAAAACCTTTTAGCTTTAACGCATATAAAACAGGAACAGACTTTTGTAGTTGAAATACCTGTAGCCTCATCCAATTTTTCCCGATATTTACAACAGTAAAGTTCATTTCTAATTTATTGAATTTGTAACAAACAAATGGGTCGAATCATACAAATTACACGAATGTTTTCCAAGAAAATCTGCTGTTTGGTTTGGTTTATACTCAGCAAATGCCATTTTCGTTTCATACTTTTTCCAGGGCAATAACTCACAAATTTCAAACATTTTTAACACAAAACACAAAAGCTGAGCTATATGCGTTTGCTTTCATATCTTAAATCAAGAATTTTGGATACCTCCAAAATTTTTCTCTTTGGGTAATACGTGAAATATTTTATTTGTGTCGATTACATTTGTGTCCACCCGTGTAAATGAATTTGTGTAAAAAACATACAAAATATTTAAACAAAATATTGACATAAAATCTGTTTAATTTGCCAAATTATGCAAATAATCGAAAAAAAATAGAAATAAATTTAAAAATAAAATTGAAAATGAATTGGAGATTTCAAACTAAAATAAATAAAATAAATTATTTTTTATAATTTCCTACTCAAAATCGAGATGAAATTACAAAAAAAAAATGCATTATTATAAAGGCGAAACCCCTCATTTATTTGATAGAACCGAATCAAAAAGAATTTTTTATTCAAATATTTTCAAAAAATAATCATCAATTATTATTATTTATTATGCATAATGTAGGTAAATTTTTATATCGAAAATACTTTGTGTACACACAATTTATTTTAATTTTAAATAAATAAAATGGAATTTTCAAATATTTTTTAAATTTTGCGAAATGAGAGAACAAGAAATAAAATGCTTAACAACTTTTATAAAAGAAAAACAAATAGAACGAAAAAATTTTTTTACATTTAAATGTATGCAAAATGTTAAATCCAGGTCAATCTATTTAAAAAGAAATATGAAAAAGAAAATAACCCCATCCCACAAAGAATAGTTTAATCTTTTATAAAATATTAAAAAAATCTCTTGCTTCAATTTATTACCAAGTAGAAATATGACAATACCGCGGATAAAAACTCTTCAGCGAAATTCAGTATCCGTATTTGACAGTTTTAAAGAGTCACTAGATAGGCATAGATACCCATGAATTCCAGTAATACCTACTTTTTATACTCAAGTGAGCTACAGTTTGCAAAAAAAAAACGATTTCCTTATCTCCTATATGCTATATTGCATACTATTAGCAGAATTCTGCTGAAAGTTTTTCCAGAGTGACGATTTAACAAGATTTCTAAAATTAAGACAAACTTAATAAGTAATAGAAATTTGAAATTTTGCATAATTTCAATTAGAGCAATAACTCGAAAAGCAGAATAAACAAAAATTTCATCCTAATAAAACAAAATTTTTACAGACTCGTCCGAACTACTGTGTTGCAAAGGAATGACTCTCTTCAAATATTAAAGAGTATTAGTCGGTCAGTTTTTCGCGATCGCAAATGAGCCAAGAAACTAATTTTTCTAAATTATTTTTTCTGAAATGTGATAAAAAGTATTATGGTAAAAATAGTACGGAATAATTTTAAATTTGAATAAATCAATAATTTCTGTTTCACTAAGGTGATAAATATATATATAAGGTATAAATATAAAATTGTTAATTTTGCTATGGAAAACAAAATATACAATTTATGTTAAAATAATGAGGCACCTGAAGCACTAGAAAGAACAGGGGCTAATACACCTGTCCTAGCCCCAATACAATTTTGTAGAATCGGATCGCATACTGTTTGCTGGAAACTAGCAGAGGAATCAGAGAGAAAACGGTCAGAGAACTAATTCTTCCTGACCTGCGACAGTCAAAGGGACTTCTGGGAGATTATGACCAAAAGCGACTTAAGAGGATTATATAGCTGAGCAAGAATCAGGTGATAATTTTCACCGGAATCTTGTCAGAATACTGTAGACTTAGGATGTTTCCTCAGAAGGTTGGGCCCAGAAAATAGGAACACTTGCAGATTCTGTGTAGAGGTTGTGAAGACCTCAGTACATCTTCTGGGAGTGTGTTATGCTCTCGCTCGTAGGAAAAGGAAAATGCTAAAGGACTTTGCTCTCACTGCGGCGGAGTTACGGTCTTCCGGGCCTAACAGGGTGCACGAGCTCATCAGAAGGTTGGATCTAGAACAGGTATTTTAGGGTAGACTGTAGTGTGGGGATAACAACCAATTAATATAAACTGATAAATTTTATTTATAATCAAAAATTTTATCAAAAACTAATTAAATCTAAAAATATTATAAAATAAAATGTTGTCTTATGGCAACCAAGGGTCAAAATAATATTAAGAAAACCTATTTTCCAACTATTATAACATACATACATAATATACATACATAAAAATGTATAAATAAATAAATAAATAAATGATAACATAAAAAAGAAAATCTCGTCTCATGTAAAATTCGTATCAAATGATAAAAAAAAAATTCTTTTTAACTTTTGAAAATAGTTTGATTTTATAGCCTTGTATTTATTAACGTTTCGATGTACTATATGTTACAGTATACATATTTATATATTTATATAAAGATAAAAAATTTAGAAAATTTTCTTAAGGTTAATCAAAACATGTAGGTATAATAAATTTTTTTTATAATTACAAAAATTTCAACGTTAGCCTAATTGTCTATATATATTAAAGTTTTTCATGAATTCCAGTACTATTTCTTCTAAAGAACTTTACAACTTATGGGTTAATTCTAATCTTGGTGTATCATTGCATCGATACCTGAAAGCTACAAGTGGTATTTTATTCACTTTTTTGTTTATGAACATCTCCACATTCTTTTGATGGAAGAGGTGAGAGAAGACTATAGTGTTTTTTATTATGCTTGTTCAAAATTGCCTCTTTGCTCAGTCATTTAATATTAATTTTTAATATTATTGCTTTGCTACTATCTTGAAATATCAATTGTTTTTTTAATTTTTTTTTTTTTTTTGTATTCATCCCTACAAATTTTTAATTTCAATTATTTTTCGTAAATGTCACAATACTTTTTTAAATATTTTTAAATTGTTACATTAGGATTGTGCATTCAACTCATTTCTTTTTGATATTAGAATGCTCCTAACTAATTTTATTTGAATTTTGATTCTAGTATTGGGTTTTGTTAAATATTTTATGAATTTTTTTTTGAATATTTTATAATTGTAAGCTTATTCTTTATTATAGTTTAAGTTAATGAATATATGGTTTGATTATTATAATTATTATTATTATTTTTATTATATTATATTTTTTACAATTAACAAGAATTTATATATACATTTTTTTTCTTTTCCACTCCTAGGAGGGGTATAGCTTTGGGATATAGCAATGTCATGCCCCAGTTTCATTGCGTCATAGAGTTTTAACTAGAGTACTAGTAGGTGACTAGCCTGCCGCAGTTTTTTTCTTTTTATTACATATTTAAGCTTATTAATATTTATTGTTTATGTTTCTTGGTTTTTTTTAATATCGAATTAATTATGAATATATGAAAATTACTTGTATACTAATTTATTTCATAAATCTATAATATTAAATATAATTTTTATAGTGACCTGGTCGGTTTGAACCCGAGACCGTTCGGTTAAAAGATCGGTGCCATAACCACTGCACCAATGGTCAGGTTATTTATATACACATAAATATATAATTTACTAACATAGTAAACGACTGGACAAACCTTATTTAAAAATTTATTTTTATATTTTTATAATCCAATATTATATAGAAAATCTATTGTATAACAACAATAATACAATAAAAATAAAAGTAAAAAAATAAAAGATGAGAAAATATTAAAAAATATAATAAAGAAAAATTAAAAAAAAAAAAAAAATAAAAATCAAAAAAAAAATACTCACCGTTATTGATTGTGCCTTCGTAAAATAAATCCTTAATATCCTTGTCCAATAATGTCTCCATTTTTCTCCTCTTTTATTATTATTATTATTTTAATTTTTCTTTTTTATGATATTTGATTCCTTCTTATTTATTATTACTATTATTATTTTTTATTTCAGATATTTTATTTACATTTATGTATATAACTTTGTATATAATTAATACAACATGTATACATTTTAAGATTTTAAAATTTTATATATAAATGTGTCTGTACACTAAATATTATATACAGATGTTATTATTATTAGTTATATACTGTTATTATTCACTTTTCCTCTATATTACGCAAAGTAAATAAGAAATTGAAAAATTAAAAATTTTTCAATACATACATACATAAATTTTTTTTTATTATAAGTTTTGCATTTTAACTATATATAAACATAAAAAAATAAAAATATTTTGATATACAAATATTAAAAATGGAATACATATATATGTCGCATATATATATATATATATATATATATATGTACATAAATATTATAACCTGTACTGTGTCATATTCATTAATAAAATGAACTTAACTAACCGAGAAAATAAGAGAAAACTGAAAAGGTTTCTTGAATAAAAAAATCTAATAATATTTTTTCAATCCTTCATTTGTACACACTTTCTTATACATATATATATCATTTTGTTATACATATATATATACATACATACGGCTTTTTGTTATATATTGATAGCTTAATAAAAATGAATACATAATGTATGATATGAATACACACATACACACATTGGTATATCATAAGTTACTTTAATAAAATATACGAACACGGTAATAATCGTGTGTATGTCATATAATATAAATGTATGCACGTTATGTTGAAAAGGATGTGAGAGAAAATTGAAGAGAAGATGAAGCGAATTGAATTGAATATAATGGGATCAGTAAAGTGTATATACATATATAGAAAAGTAGAAAAATTGAGCAGGAAAAAAAAAATGCTTATACAAACAATAAAAATTACAAAAAAAAAAAGGGAAAAAATTTTTTTCTGGATTTCATTTTTAAAAAAAAAATTTTTTTTTTTTGCTTTTGTTTTGTTTTTTTATCACTATTTTAGTATTAAATCAAAACCGAACCAAAAAAAAATTTTTTTTCAGAAGTTCCATTTTCTTTTTTTGCATATTCTGTTTTTTTTTTTTTATTTTTATTATACTTGTATACAATGTACATAAACCTTATGTAAAAAAGGAGCATAAAATTTTCTGCTCCTTTTTAAAGGAAACGACAATATTTCTTTTTCTCTTTCTCTTTTTTATTAATTTTATTCTCTTATCTTACTCACTTATTTGATTTTGATTAACTTTTTTTTGCTCACACATTATAAAAACCCTCCCTAGTATGAAAATTAATAATTCTTGCCCTGGACAATGATAGTTCCAAAAATATAGTAAATAAAAAATTAGAAATTTAAGAATTTAAATAAAAATTTTGTTATTTTTTGCTTAAACAAACACAAAAACCGCGCATCATTCATTCAAATCTTACAATACAACCGTTCCCCAATAACCTAGATTATTTTCATTCGTAAATACGAATGTATACGTATACTTGTAGGGTATGTTCTAAAAATTTTCAAAAATGATTATTTGTACAAAAATTGCCATATATTCGAAACCCAGTGGGGAACTGGCAAACATACCGCTTTTGGAACCGCAAAAGACGTTAAAACTTCAAGATCTTTAGCTACAGCAGACTAAGGAGATTTTTTGTAATTACAACCACAAGCGATATTAGAATATAATAAAAATGTGTGAGAGAATTATCATACTTACGATAAATTAGAATATTTACGAGTCTATACTAAAGTGATATTGTCGACTCGGAGTTAATTTGAATAAATTGAACCTGGATGGTGAGGACCTTGTTCGCAGGAGAAGGAGATTTCGATACTCGTTCTCGGCAAATGTGGAGTGTTGATCCCCGGGCGAAGGGTCTGAGAGTTGCAAAAAATCAAACTCTTCAACATACTCGAATTTGCCACGAAGTCCCGAAGAATTCATTGACAATAAATCATTTGAGAAGTACAATAATAGTATTGAGAAGTAGAAATAATATTCCGTTGAAGGTAATTGAAATTGTATGAGTTCCTATACAGTAAGTACCATTTAATTAAAAATTGAATCTTTTTTTTTCAACATTTTAAAGAAATATAACATTATTTATACAATATATATGAAGTCTATGAATATTCTATTTTCAATTTAATTAATATCAGATTCAATGCATTTGATGCATTATAAAACACAGAAATGATATTGTATTATTTTTAACGCTTGCTTTTCTAATATGGTTTCATATATAGTTTATTTCAATTACCTTACACGCATTTAAAAGAGTTATAATAAATTTTTATTTATAGTTAAAAAAAAAAAATGTACTTTTTCCGGACGATTTTAATAACAAACATCCGCTTTTATACTTGAGGCTCTCTATATTTGAATATAATTAACCTTAATATCATATGTTTAACATCTTCTTTGTTATGTACATATACATATGTATGTGAACAATTGAAAAATAACAATTTTCTTCAAGTTTAAATAGAGTTTTTGCAATAAATTAAAACCAAATCAACAAACTGCGAGAGAAAAAACCCAGTTTTTATAAATTAGTTGAACATATAAAAAAAATTAAAGTAATCATAATAAAATTGTAAGGACTGCGTGAACAACAAACAAAACAGAAAAAATTTTTTTTTCTTCGTTTAAAACAAAAATCCAAAAAAAAAAGAAAAGCATAGCATAACACATTGACATTTTGATTAATGAGAATTAAAGGAACTAAATTACTCGTCCTAGTTTTTTGTTAATTTTTTATTTGGGCAAAATGAATGTTAGTGGAAAGTGCTCCTCCATCTTTCCTCTAAACGCCGAATTTCAAAAAATAATTTTGTTCGTGAAAAATTCAAATTTAATAAATTAGTTTACCATTAAACTAGTTTAAACAAACTTGGTCGTCGAAATTTAGGGCTATTGGTGAATGTACTCATTGGACATTGGCTCCCGATAGTCCATCTAAAGATGATGGGCAAAGCGGAAAGCGATATCTGCCCCTGATGCTTTGAAGAGAACGAAACCGTAGAACACTTATTTGTATGGACATGAGACGGTAACTCGATTACGATTGAGATGCTTCGAGAAAGGCTTTGTGACCACAATAGAAGTCTTGAGACTTAAAGTAAATTCAATACTAGAATTTGTCAGGAGCTTAGATATAATTCTAAAGTAGTTGGAATGACAATGACAATGACTATTTTATAATATTTTCACTCTAATCGGCCGTTGTTTTGTCCGTCCCTTCCTGAAAGCTAAAACCTCTTAAAATCTTAAAAAAACCATTTTTTGACAATAAAATTGCAAAGAATATGACAAGAAAATTTAAAAAATAATTTTTCAAAGTTGTCAAAAAGTTTTCTAATAATTTTTGTGTGAGAAAAAACACACTCACGAGACAAGTCTTATTACTTCTTACAAGGCTTATTGCCTTACTAAGTTAACTGAGTTCTAATTTAATTCGGTCTCGTTAAAAAACCTAAAATCTGCTTAAAATATGAATACTATTTTTAATTAATCTCATAGTAAAATTTGATAGTAATTTGGAGATGATAAGAAATTCTATCAAGCGATAATTTCTCTTCTTTCACATCACAATTCTTTTCGTTTTTTTTCGTCTTTTTTTGTTATTATCCTATTTTGCCCATGTTATTTTAAAATATATGAGCATTATAAATTTGTTTCTAAATTTTCAACAAAATTTTGAAAAATTTATAAATTAAGAGTTAAGTTTATAAAATATTGCTGTAATTAAACTTGATATTTAAATTTCATTATCATATAATTGTGATTGATGTTAAATTATAAAAAGCAACTCAACTTGTACTCAACTTAATCAAAATTATAAAATTGATTAATTAATTGAAAATTTTTAATCATCGCGAAACTGTAAATTACATAAAATTCCTTAAATATGAAAATATATATGTGTGACTTTATGTATATTAAGTGAAATTTGAGCAAGAACGTAATTGAAAATTGAAATTTAATTTAAACATTATTCACATTCTAACTTACATTTTTAGGCAAATGAGCGTGACTGCATTTATGACAGCTTTAATCATCGTTTGTACAAAATGTACTATTATGAGTCAGAATTAAGCATTGTTGTCAGTATTTTTGTGTATATGTTGTCAAACGAAAATTTAGTAAAAAATCAAAAGTAGTAAAAGATGAATACGACCTGTATGTACAAAGGAAATTTTTTCGCGATATGTGTATCAGTTTGAAAATAATGTCCTTTAACTTTTATACAAAAAAAAATTCTCTTTACAATTTTATTTTCCAGAACAATTTTATTTTTCAGTTTTTGTTTCTTAACACAGCAAATTGCTTTTTTGAAATCGTGACGATTTCAATAAAAATACTTTTTTTTTCTTAATCTTGTTTTATTTTATTGTTCACGTGTAATTTATACGAAATGTTATAAAAAATGTCACGAAATTGTTATAAAAACCAAAATACATAATATAACAAAAAAAATCTCGTGTTTTATGTCAAAAATGAAAAAAAAAATTTCTTTTTATCGAATTTAATTTTACGAATTTTGGGACCTAAATTGTTAAACATTTTATAATCTGCTTATGTTGTAAATCAAAATTTAATTTTTAATATTAATAATTCTCAAATTAAATAATTATTGTGAATTATATTTAAAAGTTAGTCAGTGTTCACAATATTGTTTATGAATTTCTATTTTTGACTTGATTTTGAAGTTTGTTGTGTAAACATCCATGTCAAAATACAAAAAAATTCATTTTTATGTCAAAGCAAAAACAAAACCTTAACCACAATAGTTTACTCCTTTCTCTTTCATCAAGGAACCTTCATATTTAATTTCTTTTATAGTAAAATTTCTGCAGACACTTTTTCTGATTTTATTACTTTCCTTCTTGAGCGAATTGCTCTTCTCTTTTTGAATGTAGTCATAGTTTGCATTCATACGACAAAATAGAATTTATATTTTTACATTTTCATTTGTGTAATTTGTTTGTGCCATGAATAACATTATTATTTCAAACAGAAAGTCAAGGAGCAAAGAAAAAATTTAAAAAAATAAACAAGTAAATAAAAAAAAAATAAGAATGAATTTTTCTGATCTTTGATCCATTATGTATAAAGGAAAAGATCCCTTGTTTCCATTTATATTAGTGTTTTTTTTTTCTTATCTTTTTTCCTTTTTCCTAATATATTCTTCTCTTCTATAGTCC